CTCTCTTGACGTAACATACATATCCTCAATAATCCAAGATGGCAAACAGCTCACTTTTTTCAGTCGAAATATTTTGAAAACTAAGCAAAATATAACAATCTGTAGTAGAGTTTAATATATAGTTTTATATAGTTTTAAGAGTTCTTTCAAATGAACTAAACTCTTTTTTTTATTGCCAATGTCCTTTAAGTGTTTTTAGTTTTTTAGGCGGCTAGGACAGTTTATTGTTAGTTCTTATTTCAGAACTATTAAATGTATTTTAAGGTATTCCATGCATTCCTGGAAGTTTCAATGCATCAACGGTAACTGTAACAGCTGTAACGTCAGTAACGCAAACATTACTGGAAACAACGATACAACACAATGTACAGACAGCGTTCAATCGTTTGCTGTGACCAGTTCGGTGGATTTCATAACTCTTTCTAGCCAGAATGCTACACGTATAAAGAGGTGAGTCTTGGATGTAATGACTGGATACGTACCGGAAAATGTACGTAACATCAGGGGCGTAGGAAGGGGGGGAGGGAGGGGGGCACAGGAGGCACGTTCAAAGGACCTAAAGTGCCCTTTTTTGTGATGAAAAGTGCCCTTTTTGTACAAGCTTAGCGATTAACATCGAAGGTGCCCTTTTTTAGGAAATTTTGATGTTTTTAAAAACATTTTCGTCAAAAACGTTATTGTATGTTGCAATTCGAAATTTGGGCAAATGTGTTATACCGGAAAATGTTTTTCTCCCCCCTCCCCAAAAGTGCCCCTGGAAGCCGATGCCCCCTCCCCCGCCCATCCTCCCAATCTGTTGATGCTTTCTACGCCCCTGCGTAACATGCAAAAGATTCTCCTCTTAATGTGTTTGAGAATTATCTTTGTTCGTTACAGATCAGAAGATGTCAGCCACATTTGTTACCAGGACTCGTGCGCAGAGGAAGTGTTTTACCCATTGATGACGTCATACGACGGCGAATCCCGAGAGGTGGCGATAGCTTACGGCTTAATATTGGTCGTATTTGTGCTACTCGTCACAGGCGTATCAACCCCCTTGCTGCAATATTTAAAGACCCTGGTGATTGGCTAAATCATAGATGCATCTCAAAGGAATGAAGGTTAGTCTTTGCGTTGTGGTGGGGGTATTGAAATGGGTCCAGGGTGCTGGTCATGGAATGTGGTGAGGGTGTTCCCCAAGGAAAGTGCAAGAGGGCTGAACACGAAGTTCGTGGTTAGGGAGGGTCGATGTTCATGAGAAACTGGGATAGTGCATTTTCACATCTGCGACACGCGTTTAGCAATACGAATGATCTAGTTAAAGAAATTGCCTAATTAGAGCTGATCCCAATTGAAACAATAATCGATTCTTTTGAAAAAATAATCGAAAATAATCGAATGAACCTGCCTGGGCTTAAATATCAACAAATTTAGGACTTTGATTTTCAAAATCTTGGCGCTTGATGTTCATTGTAAATTTATTTCTCTCTATACTTCAAACTACTTAATTTTCGATGCAAAAATGTTTCTGATGTATTGCAGATGAATATGCATGATATCCAATTGAACAAATGAAATGCAACAAGGAATTGAAAATAACATCAATTCCACCTTTCCTTCAGACGAAAATTCAAGGTCGGAACTTTGTTGACCTTTGAACTCAGCCAATCAGAATCTACTAAGTTTAACTATATGACCAATCGAATCAACTACCCAGATCTGGTAACGCAGCTGGGGGTCGTCAAGCAATGCCACGAATTTTCACAAGCATGCATGTACGGCTTTTGAAAAAATTAATGAAAAAAAAATGCTCAAATGAACACCGTGGATATCATATTTGCATCCTTAAATAATAAATACATAATATATACACACTATTTCCACCCTGAAAAAGGAAATGGGTTTGTATCTACCGGGTGTCCCCCAAAAAACTGGACACTGTTTCATTTCATGCAACGTATTAAAAGCTATAAAACTATCGCAATGAAATAAAGATTATTGCATTCAGAAAGGGCTTACTTAGATTTGTACTATTTAAAGCACGCGTAGGAGTGTTTTATCACATATAAAACACGACGCGTAGCGGAGTGTTTTATATGTGATAAAACACGACTACAAGTGCTTTAAATAGCTTAAAAAACGACTCATCTTGTACGAGTTCATTGGCGAAGTAATTTTTAAAATAAACTTTGTCTAAACCGAGAAAATCAAAGCTAAAGTTTATGTAAATTAACATGATTTTATATCACATATAAAACCACGACACGCTTATGATTTTTCTTTGTGTTTTGCTCCTGAATTATTAATGAGTTTTTTAATGATATATAATAATTGAATTTACATGCAATATTGAGCGAGATACAACCAAACCTCGTACCCAGCCTCTTGTGGAAAAAAGACCCTGGTGGACGCTGGTCACGTGATCTGCTAAAATCTAGTAGATTTCTAATTAACTATCTTGAATTCCTTTACGACAATCATACAAAAAGCAAATTATAAATTAAACTATAAAAATTATTCAAATATCAAATATTTATTGACCTCATCTTGGATTGCTAATTAAAAATCTGCTAGATTTTAGCAGATCACGTGACCAGCGTCTACCAGGGTCTTTTCTCCCCTCGCCAAGAGGAAAAACCCTCGGTACGAGGTTGGATACAACCAACATAAAAATATTTATTATTTAACAAGTATAACTACATCGGTAATTATAAGATTGTTTTATGCTAATTTTTGGCATTTTGAAAAAACAGTAGTTCAACGTTCAAACATCAATAGCGCAGTCAATATTGCAAGTTAGTCCTTTCTGAGTGCAACGATCTGTATTTTATTGCGATAACTTTTACAGCTTTTACGTTACATGAAATTCAACAGTGTCCAGTTTTTTTTAGGACACCCTGTATTTAAACTAATTTCAAACGATATATTGATATTACATTTTAGTTTTAAGTCTTTTATTTAAAAAGATGACGAAACACTTGGCGAGAAAAAGCGCTAAAACACGAGCGCAAAAACACCAGCCAATGGCAATGCAAACGCTAATTCACTACATGTGAGAGATAGCATCCTACCAATCAAAACGCTGATGCAATACATTTCACATGTTAAAAATATCAACACGCCGTGATTTTCTATTTCACGCATCTACTACTGTGCGGGAAATTTCTTTATATAATAACTACAGTGAAACATGCAATTTGTCAGGTCAGGCTATCCTGCACGAGGTTTAAAATCCCTTTGCGGGATTTTCGCGGGATTCTCAAAATGTCATTGTTTCACTGTAGTTATTTTATAAAACGATTACCAAATGGTTTTCCAAGCAGGATAACGTGATCCATGCACTTGGGATGTTGCTCGACTTTCGGAAAGCGTAAAAATACACTCGCCTGCGGCTCGAGTATTTTTACGCTTTCCGAAAGTCTCGCGACATCCCTCGTGCATGGATCACGCAATCCTGCACGGATTGCCTGCACGCATTTATTCCTTTAATAACTACTTATATAATTAATAATTTTTTGTGTGTTTTAATTAAAAACCAATGGAGATGGCGGCTCATGGCTAAATCTTCCTTCTTCCTAAAAGTGAATATAAAAAAAGAGTTATAGAGGTTATATAATTTGGGCAATGTTTATATCTGCGGGTCCCCCTTTGTTATGAGCAGAACTGATGCGCAGAACGGACTTGACATAGTCTTAACAGTTTTGGTTTATCGGCTAAATCAGTAAATCTTGTCCGCCATTGTTATTGACGCGGACGGCAGCGTTATCGCGGTTGAGTTCGGTGAAAGGCAGGTTAGTTCGAAAAAAACTCACCTGCTCGGAACCAATCAGAAAGCCGCTTTTAAAGGCACAGTTCGGGCTTTTGATTGATGGTTTTTAAGGCGCATTTCAGCCCTTTTAATTGAAAAAACCCATACAATGTTACATTATACTGTAGATTGACTGAATCTACACTTTTTTAAAAATTAAAGATTTTCTGATTTGGATACGTATTTCTGGAGAATTATTATTTGCTTAAAGGCACAGTTCAGCCTTTCGAATGATGGTTTTTAAGGTGCATTTCAGCCCTTTTAATTGAAAAAACTAAGTAGGAAAATCAATTAAGCATAATTCAAGATCAGCAAACTTAATTTTTTTAACATTTTAAGACATTTTTATTGTTAAAAACATTGAGTTTACTGATCTTGAATTATGCTTTATTGATTTTCCCAGTTAGTTTTTTTCAATTAAAAGGGCTGAAATGCGCCTTAAAAACCATCATTCAAAAGGCTAAACTGTGCCTTTAACACAGGTATGGCATAATAAATAAAGTTTACATTACCTTGCACGTATCATGGATAAGCATTCACCTGTAATTCGCACATCGTCAACTCGTAAAGAAATGACTGTATCACCAAGTATTGTCCATTCATCGGTGGGGCACATGAGAAGGTCATAGTCTGCCTTTGAGGTACAGCAAGATTAGTTTCTCCACATCGAGGATTTGATCGGCCATAATCTTCCAAACTGTTGCCGATCTTTATTGCGAAATTTCCCAATCTATGGCCACAACAACCACCTAATAATGGAATCAAACGATTTTGTTTCCTCAACTACGAAAATATAATGTTCTAAAAACAACCATCACATTTTTTTTTCGGTGTAACGCGTTAATTTATAGTCGTGCAAGTTGTCAACATTGTCTAAGCCGAGAAAATCAAAGCTGAAGTTTATGTAAATCAGGACAAATCTTTTGCCAGAGGTTCTTCCACGCTCGGGGGATAATGAGGGATACACGAGGATGCAAGCTAGGCGGGAGGCGAGCGGGAAGAACCTCTGGAACACTTCTATGGCTTTTACTGTTTTGACTGTTACATGTCAATCAAACGTTAGCCAATAGGGCAAGTACTTATTTTTGACTGATGATGATGTTGGGCGTGTGCAACCGAACATTTGAGCGATGGAAATTGCGACAGAACTCTCTCCTCCGCAGAGGCTTTAGTTGGCTATGATTATATTACGATTAGTATTGAGATACATTTCACTACACTTTACATGGCGGATTTTGGAACACGAGTGGAGTCCTGGCCTTTTCCGCCTTCGCCCAGCGGCTCTGCTCGTGTTCCATCCAACTAAAGAAGCCTCTGCGGAGGAGAGAGAGGTAGTGCCTTAATACCAAAGCATTCGTTGGTAGGGATACGACTGCATGCCTGAACACCAACAAATTTTGATTAATTTGTTCTTGCAATAATGGCAATCTTCATTGATATTTTGCGAGTTATCGTGCTCACAGACAGACAGACAGACAGACAGACAGACAGACAGACAGACAGACAGACAGACAGACAGACAGACAGACAGACAGACAGACAGACAGACAGACACACAGACAGACAGACAGACAGACAGACAGACAGACAGACAGACAGACAGACAGACAGACAGACAGACAGACAGACAGACAGACAGACAGACAGACAGACAGACAGACAGACGCAGATGCACAGTCCAGTTTTGCTTGCCAAAAATATACACAGGGAAAAAAATTAAATTTCTATTAATGGATTTTTTATTGTAAAAACTGAACTCTTACCATCATTGGTTATCATAGATTTCCCATATGGTAAAATTAGTAAAAACCACGATGTTTAATATTTACCATTAATAGTACGTTATTTTTTCCTGTGTGCAGGAAAATACCATTAATGGTACATATTAAACATCATTGTTTTTACCAGTTTACCATATGGGAAATCTATAATAACCAATGATGGTAAGAGTTCAGTTTTTACATTGATAGTATACATGGTAAATCTTTAAAAACCATTCAAAAACCATTCATGGAAATTTTTCCTGTGATATATAGACTATACCCGTGGTTGTTCTATGATTTACAACCAAGACCCATCCCGGCGAAGGTAAATATAATATTTAAATAAGTAATATTAACCTCTGTTTGTAATTACCACTCTGGCTACTTGAATCTCCTCTTGAAAGTTCACACGCCACCACTGTGTTTCAGCGTCAAAACTCTCCGCCTCAAAGCACCCATTAGCACCCCAGTTTGTGTTGCTATTTCCATCTACTGCGCGGTGACTCAAGACTTGATACGTCG